TCTTTTAAGGATTAGAGATTTGGAGATTTAGGGATTGGGGAAGGGTCCGGGAAGGGGAAGGATTGGGCCTCCGGTAACCTCAATCACACGGCGAAACACAACGCTGTGGTTGTTTCACGCCGGTTTTCTGTGAGGCCGTGGTATCACTCCGGTCGAGCCGACCCATTCGTGCCGAAGCATGGCTCTCCCACACTTAAATTACTTGCATAGTTCTCTCACATTATGTAATTTTTACATTATCTGGACTTGAAAAGAGACTGACCTCTGAGTTTGTTTCGGCATTTCTTCTCAGAGTAGTCAGATAGGAAATGCCGGCTTCATCTAGTTTTTAACATATAAATTGACGTGTACAAGTGCCGCTTTCTGGCCTATTTGCAAAAAATAAAATCATTGTTTCATTGCTAGTTTCGCTCGGGCTAAACATTTTAAAATTATAAACAGGTAAAATTTGTAAGTTTGCATGTAGGAGGTGGTAATCCTTGGAACCGCTGGTCGGATTGCCAAAATTCTTCCACTGATAGATAGCTACAATTTTCCCGAGTGCTATAAAACATCACGCTACCATCAAATGGAGCCGAGCAGCTACTCTCGCGCGATTTCACCCAATCGCGGGAGTACCTAGTAGGTATTATTTTGTAAGATTTTTTTTTTAATCCACTTGGGGTTAAACCCGCCCCAAGAGGGAGTTTATAGCGACGCAATGCGTAAATTTTATCTGCTATTTGATACAGATTTGTATATGGGATGAATTGGGGCATAATTATGAGACTGATATAAACATAAGTAACTAGCTCTTACCCGCGGCGTCGCTCCCGTCATTTGAGTACCTACCCTACTCTACCTACCCTACTCTACCTACCCTACTCTACCTACCCTACTCTATGTACCCTACACTACCTACCCTACTCTATGTACCCTACACTACCTACCCTTCTCTACCTACCCTACTCTATCCTATCCTATGTCCTTCTCCATGCTCTAAACTACCTCCCTGCCAATTTACAGCTAAATCGGTTCAGCCGTTCTTGAGTTATAAGTGGAGTAACTAACACGACTTTCATTTATATATATAGATTAGGTTTCATTGTTTTTTCTCTGTTTTCTATTATGAAAAATCGTATGTGAAATTGGTAATTGAGCATTGGGTAAGAATCGTTCTTTACTTATCCGAGAATTTTAATTTTAAACTGATAATGTTCGAATTAAAACATCTGTTTACATGTAAGTAATTAAATATCATGTTGCACGCATGATTTCGTCCACAGCTGGACATAGGCCTCCCCAATAGCACGCCCTGAGCTCGATGTTCAGCTCTTCTCATCCAACCACTGCCAGCCACCCTGCGGACGTCGTCAGTCCACCTATCTAGAGGGCGCCCTACACTACGTTTGCCTAGACGTGGTCTCCACTCTAGAACACGTTCTGTTTAGAAAAACCTATATTTTTTTTAACGTGTTTAGCTAGCTCAGGTAGAAATGGCTGCAGATGATACTACAAAAACCAGTATAACCTGATCCATAATGGTAAGTAAACTTCATACAAAGTGAGACCAAGATACACTGGTTTTTGTTTACCTTGACGAGTATGCCAGTTAATCCACAATAATATTATAAAAGCGAAAGTAACTCTGTCTGTCTGTATGTCTTTTCTTCACACCTAAACTACTGAACCGATTTTTGTGAATTTTAGTACAGACATAGTTCGGAACTCGGTAAAGGTTAAGATAGTTTTTACCAATGATGTATAAATCTAACGTCATTGGTTTTTACACAAAAAATCGTCAGGAAATCAGTATTCCACGCGAACGGAGTCACAAGCAAAGGCTAGTTAAATATATGAGTCATAGGGAACGGTAACTCCGGAACGCGTACACGGCTTATTAATCTATTTAAAATTATATCGGATATGTATGTCACAACGTTGAGGGTCATGATCATCCATTTTTTTTACGTAATAAGTACGTCGTGCGTTGCTAGCCTTTTGGGGATTAGGGTTTAGGGATTTTAGTGATTGGGGGGGTAAAGATTGGGCGAAAATTTCACTCCTTAGCGGTTCTGATTAGACAGACGGGGCCTTATAGGGCTGATGTTCAGCCGGGGTTGCGGGGTAAGCGCAATGAGGCACCGCGACCTCGGCCCAGAGCAGAAGGAACGGGGGGGTTTTAGTCAGTAAGAGTCTGACACTCTCTCTTGCCTTACCCTGGGCGGGAGAAGTCATTTGATGATTTTCTCATGACAAAACAAAAGCGGTTCTGATTATAAAACTGAACATATTTTTCATTGGTACCAGCAACTTCTGCGACGTTTTACGCGTCCTTGATAGATCATGGCGTTTTATTTTTTGCCCTATAGGATAAGTAGGATGGGCTGGTTTTCTAATTAAGGTATCAATAGGCATACATAGGTATACGAGCAGAAGGATTACCTGATGGTAAGCAATCAGCGCCGCCCATGGACACTCACTACACCAAAGGAGTTACCGAGTGCTTTTCTGGTTTTTTGGAGATAAGGGATTCAGATATTCAAGGATTGGGAATGGATGGGAGAGCCCGGTAATAACCTCACTCACAAGGCGAAACACAACGCTGTGTTTTTTTTATGTAATAGGTCCTTAGACTGATTACCTGATGGTAAGCAATCAGGGCCGCCCATGGACACCCGGAACGGAGGAGTTACGAGTGCGTTGCCGACCTTTTAGAGATTAGGGATTTGGAGATTTAGAGATTGAGGAGGGGAATGATTGGGCTTCCGGTAACCTCACTCACACGGCGAAACACAACGCTGTGGTTGTTTCACGCCGGTTTTCTGTGACGCCGTGGTATCAATCCGGTCGAGCCGACCCATTCGTGCCGAAGCATGTGGCTCTCATGTCGGTTTCCTGTGGTGTTTCACTTCCTCACGTTCGCGCGCGAAGAAGTCTTAATTCACCAAAATACCAAGCGAACGCCGGCGTTCGTAACACAACGCTTTGGTTGTCGGTTTTTGTGGTGTTCTACATTTTCGCGCTCCGAAGTCGTCATTCATCGAACACGAAACGAACGCCGGCGTCCGCGTACCTACTGTCTCTCGAATTACCACGATTAAAAGGTTAGGAAATAGGATCCTATATTTTGACGTCATGCGAGCCTGCATGGTAGGATAGCAACAATTTACTCAAGAACCACTCGGCCGTGCGTGAGGGGTCCAAATTATTCTATTGGCACTGACTGCTGAGGTCAAATTACGCGAATTAAGCGGTTTCAAAACACGTAGGTACCTATAACATAATGATTTTTAGCAAATATTTCAGAAGAGAGCGTGCCCCTTCTTAACAGAGCGGTAGACTTAAATTTCTCCGGCAATACGGTAGTTTCCAACTAGTCAAATTCAATACTTTTATCCAAATGTCAAAACGATACTTTTCTATGAAATTTGTATGTAAAACTGAGTTATGACGTCGTAGTATTTTTGCGACAAATAGCTTACTTATTTCCGAAAATTTTGTGTATCGATCAATCGATGAATAAAAGTTTAGTTATTTTTCAATATTTTATTGTATTGAAACGTCGAATTTATTTACCTATTTTTGAATTAGGTAACTACTCAATTCCCGCGTAAAACAACGCGTGAATTTTTGTTTGTAGTGAGTTAATGGAAGGCCCCACAGAACAGAAAATTAAGAAGGGTTTGAAAAAATGGCATATAAATTTTATTACGTTATAAAAAAACTATGTATGTAGCTATACGATCTTATTTGCGCCCTATTCCATTTGCTATAAGTTTCAAAATAACATTTATCTATTCCTAAGGGTCAGTTGACTTATTATTATTTCGTAGATAAAAAAACCAAGTAGGTATAAGATTTTTTTAAATGCATTCCTTCCGTAAATAGTGGCGTCAATCAATTCTAAACTTTATCTTAGTGTGTTTAAAGAATTTCACAGTTACATTTTCGAGTTGGCTAAGGTAATTTACTATTTATATCGAATATAATCCTTATGACCAGGTATTAAGACTTAATATTATTGCATAATCTACAAACAAGGGCTAGTTGAAATATCTTAACTTGAAATACTGTTATATGAATTTGTACTTTAACACTAAGGGAAATAAGTCGATTTTAAGTTTGTATAATAAAAGCGCGCGCAATCTCAAAGCACGGCGTCTTTTACGAAAAACAGTCCCTTACATTTTTTATAATGTTTTTGTGGCAATGACCCTATTTACATTCTGCCTGGCTTGTCTGTAGGGACTTGGGTATAAAAATATTACAAAACAGACTAAAGCTGATAAAAATAATTGAAATAAAATGTCGCAGACTTTTTACTGTATAAAATAGATTATAAATAATATTACACTAGATACCTACTTAATTAATATTTTTCCAATAATAATAATTGCTGAATTTGCCATAAAAAACACAGAAGCATTTATCAATTCGACATATTTATTTTAAAGTTATAATAAGTTTTATAAGGATTTAAATTGGTTAATATATTATTATATTATAACTTTCTTAAATTGAAGGAATTTAGATTTTTGGGTCAAAAGTAATAATGTACAATTACTAAAGAATATATCGGTCTGTCTCGTTCCATGAACAAAATTAGGTACAAAACTGGAAAAAGTTCAAGTTGCTCCTTTTCAGATAAAAGAGTTTTGTTATGTTATCAAATAAATATAGCTATAAACTTGAATTGCATGTACAAATACTAAAAATTATGTGATAACCATTATCATAATGTGATAGTGAAATAAGTATTTTAATTATTGTAGGTGATGTTTATCAAATTGTCCATCATATAACTGTTTGGTTTGAACAAAGAATTCTCTTGTCCAGATATACAAGTGACGCCGTAGTGACGCTTACAATCTGTTTAACATAATTCATTAATAATTCCATGTTATTACTGTACATTTTAACAGATAAAATTAAATAAAGTTATATGATGAAAAAAAAAATCTTGCAATTTTAAAAAAATAGACAAAATAAATATGTAATAGAATAAAAAAAATACTCACCCGCGAAAAAAAAGAAAAAGTGCGCCTTTATGGGCAGAAGCCCTCTGTCTATTTTTAATTTCATTGTTTTAACAACAAAGCAACTTCACATACAGCCTGGTACAGATATTTAAATCACTTTATTTATTCATCAAGAACAGGTCAACGAACGCATTTGGCATAGTTGTTCCGATGTAAATACAGGTTTAATTACAATATCAACTTTCTACAACTGAAACTGCACTGGTATGAAGTCTAAACACTGATATCATTGTTCACACAAAGAATTACTAGACGACTACAGATAATACTTATATTAAAACGTTATCGCATGTCGAGACGGGACTAACTCATTGATTATGTCTGAGTAAACACAACAGAATACGGAAAATTCAGCTTGTTGTTGATAAGTCATAATAAAACTGACGTCTGATACGTTTCGCTCAGCTGTTTGGTGTTGCTAGTGCTGTTATAAAATTACCATTTTTCTTATTTTTATTTGACGATTTCGTTGGTAGGAACGTTACATACCTAAAATGTTTGTTTATTTTAGATTAATATCTGAAATTACTCTTTATATAGTCATATTTAAAAATTATTATGGTCTAAACATTTTTTTCATTAATGTCATAAAACAATTTAACTTCGTTTCACTTAATAACCAGACAGAATATTTATTTTTTTAATTTCGACTCTCATGCAACTTTAGATGATTGCCTACTATAATAATTTGAAATATATCTATCAAATTATAAAATAACTTACATTCTAATCCTTGTGGTTTTAAAAAAATACCAGTATGTATATGTATTTGTTGTCAATAGTTGTGAACTGACACCCGAAAGGACAAAACAATACCCATTAACTATTTTACAAATAAGCATTGATCAAAATTATTTCACAAATAAGCATTGATCAAAATTATTTCACAAATAGGTAAAAATCATCAAAAACACACAAAAAGTCAACTGTTCATGGACTATTTTAACTAATTTTAGTTTAACAGACCACCACCTCCCGCATAGTAGATGGAGAGAAATAAAACAGATTTGAATATGTATATTATAAATGATTTTCTTCATCATAGTCAGAGGTATGATATTTTGTAATTATTTGTTTTAATTTCACACAGATTCCGGTATAGAGCGGAAAAAAACGATTAAGTTCCACATTTAAAATTTCCTTGTGAGAGTGTGTGCAAGGGGCGGTGGAACGGAGGGGATCATGTGAGCCAGTAGTACCATTCAGTAAAAGATAGATGACACTGTGCTGTGACGTCATTTTCTGAATCGCGGTGTTAAGATTCTCAGCGAATGAATGACCCCCTCCGATTTACACAGAACCGATATCGCTTCTCGGCCTTTTGGCTAAGATCAAAGTGTAGTATCTGTTCTTTTCAGCTTAATATCTGAAAGTTCCCTCAATGAGGGACCAGTATATTAAACTGATTTTTGGAAACTGATGGGATGTTCGGGGCTCGCTCCACTCCCGTCACGGGTCGGCCCGGCATTGCAGTGCCGCCGGGATCGGCTCACAGAATACCTTGAAAAACTAAAGGAGATTAATAATGAATATAACATCTAGTAATCCAGTTCTTCAGAAAATGTGCGATGGCACATTATTAATGTCTCTTGGTATGGATTAAACGGGAAATACTTGATAGACTATGGTTTGAACGTGATCGGAAGGACGAAGAGGAGCTAAGGTAGAAGATATTATATTCAACCGTCATATACAATTGTAATATTATATTAATGAAGTGAATTAAAGAAAAGTACATAATTATTATAGTCCTAGGCATTAAAAGCAAGATTGCTCGTGGAGGGGTTTATAAATTCACGTAATTCTATAATAAAAAATAATCCTCTCTACTTGAAAGCAAGTTAACGCAAGAGTAGGAAACGGTATTTTGTATACATATACACATAATTTGAGAAAGTACACAGTTTCAGTACAACTTACTTCAACTTACCATACACTATCTTGCCTTAGTTTGTCTCGGGCATTATATCTCATCAGAGTACCTACTCTCTGTAATTAAAAATAGCACAAAACGAACCAATATTATAAGTTAACTTCTACAGTATTTATTATTTGCTCGTTAAGGTCTTCCATCATGGTATTTTTTTTACATAAATAAGTATATTCCAATGTTCAGAATGTTGAGTAAACTTGAGAAGTTTACCTATTGGATAACATTGTTGTTGAAATTAACTTACGCATATACAAAGCGGTGAAAGGGTTAAGACTTTCTAGTAAGTTTTAGATTTAGTACAAATATTTATTTATCCTACTACTCATATCTAATCTAGGTTTTTAAAAAAAACGGAGAACCTTCCACAGTTTTCTACAATTATAAATAAAAAACCACCGTAAAAATTGTGGAACATTTTCTGTATCTTAAATTGTTATATAAGGTTTACATATTTTTGTCCATTACTATAAAACAATAAAAACGAAAATTTAGAACTACAATGTTTAACAGAAAATTATTCGAAGAAAAAAAAATAGAAATAAAAATTTTAATTATTTCCCAAAATCAGGGCAATTATATAAATGTTGGTAATTTTATTTCAAACATTATCACACTAGTCTATGACGTTTAGTTGTAAATATTTTTCCCATACTATAGCTGTCTCTTTCTAGGTCATAGCATTGTTACATAGCTATCTCTTTCGTATGCTAAAATTAAAAATAGAACTACAAACATAACTAGTGGTGTGAATGACCTCAACTTGTAATCTTAATCGAGATTTTGCACGTCGAAGTTAATATTTTAATATTAGTTTATAAATTAAACAGCACTTTATAATATTGTATTAAATACTGTGAAAGGCAAATTAATAAATTCTAGGCCAAAGATTATATCACATGCATTACTTCAAACTTTTGAAAAATAAATGTCAAAACGAACATAATCAAATCAAAATCGATCGATTCAGCAGTGGAACATATCACGGCGACCACACTAAACGGCGCGATATTCAATTATTTTTTCCTTAGTAAAATTTTCATTTGATTTTGTATAAACGTAAAACATGGTAGGCCTCCTTAGTTTGTGAATAAATAAAAATATATCAAAATAAAATGGAGGACGAGGAGTTTGTAGGTTGCATCAGTTGCATGAACACAAACGATTTATGCGACCTATTTGCTTTGTACGCGGAGAACACGGAGACTTACGCAAAAATGTTTGAAACCTGTTTTGATATTAAGGTTATAAATACTGCTTTTTATTTCGATATTAAGTATCGTTGAACTTAAATCCCTAGTTGAAACCTTATTTCTTTATTTACTCGTAGATTACTGTATTAGAAATTAGTTTTAGTTGGATACATACGTAGTTTAAAATTATGTTGATTACAATAAATTTAGCTTCGATAGATTTTGTTCATAAAATTATTGTGTGCCAATTTCCAATTCATTTATATTTACGTGTTGTTTTTTTGAAATTGACCATATTGATTATGGTTTATCCAATGATATTATAAGTAAAAAAGGTGTAGATAGGTTACAAGCGCTCAGCAAGTGATACATTAAAATGTGGCTAACTAGCCACACTTTTTCATATTTGTCTCTTTCTCACTCGCGATTATTGAATCATGCCATCTCACTTTAACGTGTATTATACGATTTATACATGTGTGTGTGCCGTTTTTGAAAATCGAATTTTGTTTATGTAACCTATCTATACCATTTTACTCATAATATCATTGCCTAATAGTATATTTCGTTACGCCTTGTGAGTGAGATTACCGGAGACCCAATCCTCCCCTCTCCATACTTAATCTCCAAATCCCCTATCGTGAAATCTATATATCTATCTATATCCTACAAGAGTCCGGCAACGCACTTGTAGAACTTAACTCCTTTGGTATTACAAGTGGCCATGGACAGAGCTGATTGCTTACTGCTTACCATCAGGTAATCCTCGTCGGTCGTTTGCCGACCTGACCTTTGCCAAAAATCCTCCCCTCGGTTTCCCCATAGTGAATCTCCAAAGCCACCATCCTTAAATCCCTAATAACCAACAGGAGTCCGGCAACGCACTTGTATTACTAAACTCCTTTGGTGTTACGGGTGTCCATGGGCAGAGCTGATTGCTTACCATCAGTTAATTCGTCTGCTCGTTTGCCGACCCGTGCTCAATCCCCAAATCCCTGATAACCCACAAGAGATCGGCAACGAACTTGTAGTACCTAATAAATCCTTTAGTTTTACAAGGCGCCATAGGACGTCCGCTGCTGAACATAGGCCTCCCCCATTGACTTCCAGATAGGCCGGTTGGAAGCGACCTGCATCCAGCGACTTCCTGCGACCTTAATCAGGTCGCCTGTCCACCTTGCGGGTGGACGTCGTATGGCTGATATGATGATGATGATGATGAAGCATTTAGCGCTAATTGCTTACCATCAGATAATTCGTCAGGTCGTTTGCCGACCCATACCAAAAATCCGCCCCTCGGTCTTCCCACTGAATCACCAAATCCACCGTCCTTATTATAACCCGCGAGAGACCGGGAAAGCACTTGAAGTAACTTCTTTAGTATTACAAGTGGCCATAGGCGGCGCTGATTGCTTACCATCAGGTAATCCACACGTTCTTTTGCCGAGCTATGCCACAAAAAAAAAATCAATCGTTTGTACGTTTTGTCTCGTATATAAGCAATTGTAGCGCAATAAACGGCTTTTCTTTCTCACTTTCTTTCATTTTATTTTGAATTCTAATTGTTATTACTTTAATTCGTTGACTGAAGACAGAGCCCTCGACAATTGAGGGCAAATCTTCTGCTAGCATATTGTTTTTAAGGGGAGAATATCATCAAATGTTTACGCTCGCCCAGGGTAAGGCGAGAGAGAGAGTGTCAGACTCTTACCGACTAAGAACCCCCCGTTCCTTCTCTTGGTTCAGGTTCCAGTCTGACACGCGTCACCCCTACTAGCTACTCTCGCGCGGTTTCACTCGCTGCTCGGTTCCATTTGATCGTAGCATGATGTTTTTTATAGCCTATAGCACTCAGGAACATTGTAGCTGCCTATCAGTGAAAGAATTTTGGCAATCCGACCAGCGGTTCCAAAGATAACCCCCTACATACAAACTTACAAATTTTACCTCTTTATAATATTAGTATAGATTTAAAATATTTTAGTAGAATAATCTAATGACGCGATGGTTCAATGGCTAGAAGCAAATTTTATGCCTCAAAGAGCCAATAGACCACCACAAACGGGGCCCAACAGAGCTGATGTTCAGCCGTGGTTGCGGGGTAGGCGCAATGTGGTACCGCGACCTCTGCCTAAAGCAGGAGAAGGAACGGGTGGTTTTAGTCAGTAAGGGTCTGACACTCTCTCTCGCCTTACCCTTAGGTGGGAGAAGTCATTTGATGATTTTCCCCTGACAATAAAAGTAGAATACTTAATCTCTATCTAGGTACAGTACGACCGACGTATCTTGGCGAGTCTGAAGTTAGCCGTTTGTCTGCGCAATGGATCTTTCAGGAACAAAATTGTGTACTGCGCAGCTAATCGGCTAACTTCAGACTCGCCAAGATACAACGGCCGTGTTGTAGGTAGTAGGTGTTTTGATAGTCAAATTGATAACTTTTTTTAAGGTCGATTGGCTTGAAAAATCATGTTAATATATAATTTATTTAATCTACTTCCATTAATTCAGGAAATGACGTAAATAATTACAGGATATTAATTTACAATTACATTGATATGATTAATATCTTAACACCTGTCTGTCTGTTTAGATTTCTTATCTCCATATTACATCCTTTAGCGTAAAATATATCTTTTACCTACACCACTATTCCCGTAGTGTTTTATGAAACAATGAATTTATTTTTGCCATTAGGCAATTAATTTTTGTTAGGGAAATTCATCAAATTACTACTCCCGCCCTGGTTGAAGCGAGAGACTAAAACGCCCCCGTTCTTTCTCCTGCTCTGGGCCGAAACCGCGGTGCCTCATTGCAGTTGCCCCGCAGCCTTGGCTAAACATCAGCCGTCTTGCAAATACTTAGGCTATAAAACAGCACTGTACCCGTCGAAATTATATAAAAACTTTAGTAACAAACTAGATGAAGCCGGTATTTCCTATCTGACTAGACAGAAAAGAAATGCCGAAACAATCTCGAGGTCCGTCTCTTTTTAAAAGCCGACTAAGGGACTTCACGTTAGACAGAGATCTGGCAGCAGCGCTCTCTTATACTTGATAGTGTGGGAGAGCCAATCTTCGGCACGAATGGGTCGCGTCACCGGAGTGATAGATACCACGGCCTCACAGAAAACCCCACAATCTCTATCAGCCAGCGGATAGTATGCCAAAGCTCTCTTACTTGGGAAAGCCATGCGTCACTTCGACTGTATTTATACGGGGGGTTCAAAGAAAACTTCAGTGAAACAACGCTTACTTTGTGTCTTATAGTCTCAGATTGTAAGGGAGGTACCTAGCTGAAGAGCCAATGTTTCTCTCCTAACCCTCAAAAGTCTGACACACATATCATCAGCCTATAAGTACTCACAGCTGAGCAAAAGCCTCTTCTCACACGGAGAAAGTTTGATCATTAATCACTACTGTTACTCAAGGCGGATTGTCAATTTCAAACTTAGAAATTATAAGTCCAGGTTTCCTCACGATGTTTGCCTTCACCGTATGTCAGCGGTGTCTAAATAATCATAGAAAGTACATTACAAATGCGTTGTCAGACTTTGAAAGAAAACATCGTGAGGAAACCTAGACTTATAATTATAATAGTATAACTTATAATAGTGACTTCCTGCAGATTTTTGGTATAAAAATTATCCCCTTTCCTTTTTCGGGTTCCAAACTACGTCTGTACCAAATTACACAGAATTCGGTTTAGTAGTTTAAGCCTGAAGAGAAGTCAGATAGACAGTTACTTTCGCATTTATAATATTAGTTTGGATTTATAAGTTTGAAATCGCCAATCCGCCTTGAACTAGCATGGTGGTCAATGCTCATACTTTCTCCCTGTGAGAAGAGGCCTTTGCTCAGCAGTGGGCACTTATACATACATATAGGCTAGATGGTACGTTAATAAATATATATAAATCTGTTTCAGATCCCTAATAATCTGAAGTACATATGCTCGGATTGCGTAGACAACTTGGAGAAATCAACGGCCTTCAAACTTCAGACTACGAAGAGTCTGAACATGCTTCAGAATGTTAAAGGTAAGGTTTTCAGGGTGACACCAGACCGCGTTGGACCCCCTCCTCTCCCCCACAAGGGCTGGGTGTAACTGTAATCCGGCTGGGTTCTTCAAAATCTTTGCCCTTCTAGCATTTTCTCGTGTCGTGGATGCGTTTCTAAATAAATAATTCGTCATACACGCACCACACCCAGACTCACGTAATAATAGTGTAAACTGGAAGTGTGGGAGATCCATGCTTCGGAACGAATGGGTCGGCTCGACCGGAGTGATACCACGGCCACACAGAAAACTGGCGTGAAACAACCACGCCGGTGTGTTTCGCCGTGTGTGTGTCAATACTTCCCCTCCCCAATCCCTAAATCTCCCAAATCCTTTACCCCCAAAAGGTCGGCAACATAATCGTAACTTCTCTGTTGTTGCGGGTGTCCATGGGCGGCGCTGATTGCTTACGCCATCAGGTTATAAGTCTGCTCGTTTGCCGACTTATCACAACACCTTGCACAGCAGTCAAGCCAAGCTACTGCGCCAATCATGCAGTCATTATAAGTAGCAATCCATAATTTTTGTCTTTCTGCCCAACCCTTTTTTATCCCTTAACGACTTGCGCTTACGGTGGCCAGAGATCATCTCTCGATCCCCGACGCCCGGAGTGTCGCCTACTGCGGCGGCTGGGGCGTGAGGAGTAAGATAACTCCCTCACGAGGTCCACCTCCTTCTTTTCGAGCATACCTGCTTCACAGAAAGAGGAGACGGCTTCCCAGTTTTTTTTATGTGATAGAGTGAGATCGACCATACGGATTACCTGATGGTAAGCAATCAACGCCGCCCATGGACGCCCGCAACAACAGAGGAGTTACGAGTGCGTTGCCGACCTTTTGGGGGTTACGGATTTTGGAGATTTAGAGATTGGGGAAGGATTTGGGGAGGGGAAGGATTGACACTCACACGGCGAAACACAACGCTGTAGTTGTTTCACGCCGGTTTTCTGTGAGGCCGTGGTATCCATTTGTGCCCAAGCATGGCTCTCCCACACATTTTTTTTGCTCTGCACCATAGCCTCGACTAAGGCCGGTACCAACATTTGGAGATTTAATTCATGAAACCCCAAGCTAATGCCGACGTCCGCACACCTATGATGTCTTATATTACCACGATTGAAAAGTCTTTTGCACCGTTTTAGATGAAGAATATCTTGACGAATCCATTCTGGAGGAAGCGGAGACCAGCAATAATGATGCTAAGAAAATGGAAATACTAAAGTCCACGTCAGATGGTGAAGACGATGATATGGATGGTGAGTATCTTCAGTAATTTTTGTTATATTTTAGAAACATAAGTTACTTGAATTTAAAGCGTGGTTCAAGGAGGCCTACGACCACAGACAGGGCACTATAGGGCTGATGTTCAGCCGGGGTTGCGGGGTAAGCGCAATGAGGCACCGCGGCTTCTGCCTAGAGCAGGAGAAGGAACGGGTGGTTTTAGTCAGTAAGAGTCTGACACTACCTCTCGCCTCACCCTGGGTGGGAGAAGTCATTTGACGATTTTCCCCTCACAAAAAAAAGGATGGCTAATTTTGTAGTAACATCACAATCACGCATATAAAAAATATCGGTCTTAAAATTTACTACACGACCTTTATTTTTAGGCAAATATGAACAGAGTAATCACCTGGCGGTAAGCAATAACCGGTCCTAATTCTTCTCTGTCGTTTCGCTCTTGGCAGAGCGGTCGTGGTCACGTAGAGGCATCCACATGTACAACACAACCGGTCCTAATGGACACCCTCAAAACCAGAGAGGACCTTTTTGGGAGTTATCTAAGGGTTTGAAGATTAGAGAGAGTCAGCAGAGGAAGATAGAGCTTCAACTTCATTCACACGACGGAAAGAAACGCTGTGCTTGTTTGATATCGGTTTTTTATGTGATAGGTCGGAGAACGAGCTGATGGTAAGCAATCAGCCTCCATGTACACCAGACGTGCCACGATTTTGGTCCTTTGGGGATTAGAATCTCAGAGACCTAAGGGTTAGGGAGGGATGGAAGGAGCGGAAAGATTGGGCGTCCGGCAACCTCTCTCACGCCACGAGCGAGTTTTTGATCCTTTGAGATTAGGACATCGCAGACCCAAGAATTAGTTTAGGGAGGGGAAGGATTGAAAACCTTACTCACATGGCGAAACTCAGCGCTGTGATAACTTCACGCCAGCGAAGCCGTGGTATCACTCCGGTCGGGCCGAAACATGGCAAAGTCAAAATGAAATCATTTATTTCAAATAGACCACAATAGGCACTTTTGAACGTCAAACAAAAAATTTATATCAAAAGTTAATCTAATCAGTGTCAGTCTGTAGGTCAGTCCTCTAGTGAAGCTATTTGCTCGTTCCAAAGTGTAGATTCCTATGGAGAAGAACGAGCAAGAAACTCCATGGTTACTCTTTTTAAATCAGTTTTGTAACATCATTTAGTCGGTTCTTCTAGTGAGACCCCATCTGTCTATGGCTGTCAAATTAATAAAATTAACGGCTTTCTCAAAGATTTAGATGACGAACACGCCATCCAGGCTCTGGATGAAACGACCTGCATCTATTGTGACCTTCAACTGGCTACAGTAGAAGATGTCCATGATCATATACGCACTGTCCACGAACTGGAACCCAGGACTGGACTCCCGCTTAGAGAGTGTTCGCTTTGTGGAGTTGCTTTGAGGGATCCAGCTGATCATCATAACAGGTTTGTAAACTGATCAAAAAAGGATTTAAAGTTTTTTTTTGTAATAGCTCGGCAATTTAGCAGATGGATTACCTGATGGTAAGCAATCAGCGTCGCCCATGGACACCCGCAACGAAGGAGTTACGGAGTTACGGACGAGTGTCGACCTTTTAGAGATATGGGATTTGGAGATTTAGGGATTGAGGAGGGATTGGGGGCGGGGAAGGATTGGCCCCCGGTAACCTCTCTCAATCGGCGAAACACAACGCTGTGGTTGTTTCACGCCGGTCTTCTGTGAGGCCGTGGTATCACTCCGGTCGAGCCGACCCATCCGTGCCGAAGCATGGCTCTCCTACATTTCAGAGGATGTTCTTAATTGCTTCAATATATTTAATTAGATGTTTGGTATTATAGTAATGTTGCTGTAGCATTGACTTGGCAACGACTTTAAGATTATAAAATACTACCTTTTGCCACCGATTCCGTTCACGTGGCTGTGAAAGTGACTACATGCTGATTTTTGGTATAAAAACTATTCTATGTCCTTTCTCGAGTTCCAAACTATGCCTGTACCAAATTTCACAGAAATCGGTTCAGTAGTTTAGGCGTGAAGAAAAGATGGACAGACAAACAAACATACAGAGTTACTTTCGCATTTATATTATTATTAGTTTGGATTATTTTCTATAATTTGTACAAGGAAATTATTTTTTTGATTTTTAGTTTACTTTTTGAAGTCGGTTTTGTTATAGTTAAAAAATATTAAAATTTGAAATCATCTTAAGCTAGCATGGTGATCAATGCTCATTTCTTCTCCGTGTGAGAAGAAGCCTTTGTCCAGAAGTAAGTCAGATACACTTCCCTCGCTTTTAGGTGTCATGGCGTCAAATCAGATCCGGAGGGTCGGAAATACCCGTGTCACTTTTGTGACAATATTTACGTCAGCAAGAAGGCTTGCTTCACGCATTTACGGATGAAGCATGGATGTAAGTAGAATAAATAGATATTTTGGATTCTCCCGACTCAGAGAAAACCGGCGTGTAGCTACACACTAACCCTCACGTTGTTTCGCCGTGTGAGTGAGGTTACTGGAGGCCCAATCCTTCCCTTATCCTTAATTCTTAAATCCTCCTTCTTCTTCTGATTTCATCTATCCTTAAATCCCTAATGATCCACAAGAGGTCGACAACGCACTTGTAGTCGATGGATTACCTGGTGGTAAGCAATCAGCGCCGCCCATGGACGAAAGGACTTACAAATTGCGTTACCGAACTCTTATGGGTTATAAGAAACTTAAGGATGGGGTGGGGTGAAGGGGAAGGATTGGGCCTCCAGCAACGTCACACACACGACAAAACACAACATAAATGTTGTTTCACGCCAATTTTCTGTAAGGCCGTGATATCACTCCGACCCATTCGTGCCGAAGCATGGCTCTCCCACACTTAAGATTTTGAGGATTGGGTTTGATGGGGGGCTGGATAATTACGACTCCAGTAACCTCATCTACTTGTCTTTGGGAGCCTAGATAAGTCTGTTAGAACTGAAATCCGCTCTCGTTGGAAAGCGAAACAGAAAGCAAACGTTATTTCAGGCAGATTTTCAATGGATATCCTTCACTTAACTGACTTTTGTAAACCCACGCATGTAACAGGACAGGATCTTAAGGTTAAAATTCTAATTCCGATAATTCGCGGATATCGCACGATCTCCGGGGAAGCGGTGAACCTCCTTGCCGGATCACCGCCGTGGGATCTGGAAGCGAAGTCGCTCGCGCGCGTCTACAGGAGGATCCTCTGCCGCGCCAAATTAGTGCGACCTCTCGCGCCCGGCCTTAGTCGAAGCCATGGTTCGTAGCGAGAGGAACTGGAAAGCTGTCTCCTCTTTCTGCGAAGCAGTGATGCTCGCAAAGGAAGAGGCGGAGCGCGTGAGGGCAAGCAAAGCAATAACGGGGTTGGTTTTAGTCAGTAAGAGTCTGACACTCCCTATCGCCTCATCCTGGGCGAAAGAAGCCATTTGATGACCGACAAACGGGGTTCTTTGCTCTTAGAAATATTAATTATTGATGTTATAAAGCCCTTCCTTTAAACGGTTTCTAGTGAAACTATGCAACGAGCAGACTCCAAAGTATGTCCCGAAGGAACGCAAAAAATGTCATATGTGTAACCGCGACTTTAGTCAGAAACAGATTCTCAACAAACACCTGTGGAAGGCTCATGGATTTGAGGTAAGTAACTTAGTTATGTACGCCGATTATTATGTACCTAGCTTCTGTCGCTGCTTGGCTCCTTCAAATCGCCTTCCTTGATAAATGTAACAAACACAAAAATAATTATTCAATTCAAACCAGCAGTTCTGGAGATCAGCGCGTTCAAACAAGCAAACAAACTCTCCAGCTTAATAATACTTGTACCTAGATGTCGTGGTGGCCCGGAGATTCGGGCGCTAATCATCATCAGCCTCATTCCGTCCACTGCGGGACATAGGCCTCCCCAATAGCACGCCACTGAGCTCGACATTCTCATCTCTCTCTCTTTTCATCCAACCACTGCCAGCCACCCTGGCGCTAACATAACCTTTAATAATTATAAAATAAGTTTGAAATCGCCAATTCGACTTGAGCAAGCTTGGTGATTAATACTCAAATCTGCCAAAGCAATGGGCACTTAAAGGCATATGATAATAATGAACCCTGGTTACCATTTTTTCCTCAGGTGGAAAAACGGAAAGCATTTATTTGCCCTCTTTGTGACGAAAGAGTGAGTTACGGATCAAACTTTAGCGCCCATCTTTTACATGCGCATAGAGTTCACGAACAGGTGGAGCAATTGGAGTTTCATAATATGGACGGTGAGTCATCTATCTCTCTAAGTCTTCAGCATCTTTATGGGGCGGCAAACGAGCAGGCGTATTACCTGATGGTAAGCAATCAGCGCCGCCCACTGACATCCGCACAGAGGAGTTGCAAAAACGCGTTGCCAGCCCTTTTGTTGGTTGACGGGGTTGCGGAGTAAGCGCAATGAAGGCACCACGGCCTCAGCCTAAAGCAGGAGAAGAAACGGGGCATTTTTAGTCAGCAAAAGTCTGACAATCTCCCTCTCGCCTCACCTTGGGCAGGAGAAGTCATTTCATGTTTTTTCCACGAATAAAAAGCTTTTGTTAGTTGAGGATTTGAAGAGATGAGCTATGGCCCTATGGGAGGGAGGTTTTGCCTTTTTCATCGTGGGACAGTGTCGCAAGTAGGGTCTGCAAATTAGCAAAATATCCTGACTTCAGCGAATTAGGAAACTGAAGTAGTAGTTAGGACATGGGTTGGAAAACAGATGGCCAAATGTTTGTTAAAGGCTCTGGAATGTAGGCCACGTACTGGCAAACGTAGCCCTGAACGTCCACCCATGAGGTGGATGCATGAAAGACTCCAGGAAGCCGTGGGAAATAGGTCACTTTCAAACGACCGTCTGCCATCTTATTGAAATGACTTTCAAACTCCTCACAATCTTTCCTCACAATCCCTAAAGATTCTCGACCAATTTTTTTGGGATTTCTGCATACCTGTTGAGAATTCCTCTACTTTTTTGTCACAAGCCCTTGGTGGCGAAAATTATGTACCACGGCCCCATACCGCAGCAGGACAAAGAAAGCGGGATGGTTTTTAGTCAGTAACAGTCTGACACTCATTCCCTTTCGCCCCGATTAGGGCGGGAGAAAGTAATTCGATGATTTGCCCCGCTCAAAACAGCCATTTTGTGACGTAACCTTCAAAATCTTCACAGATTTCATGATATTTAAGAGCGCTATTCAAGAAGAAACGAAATACAGGTTCCGAAAGACCACAGCAAGTAAACAGACCATTGAAGGAGTACGGTCTCATTATATGTGCAGCCAATCTGGAGTTTATGTGTATCAGGTGATTTGTAGACTATTATTATTAATGCGAAAGTTTGACTGCAAATGAGCAGATGGATTACTTGATGGCAAGCAATTAGCGCCGCCCATAAACACTCACAACATAGTTACAAGTGCGTTGCCAGCCTTTTGGAGATTAGGCTTTGCGAGATTTAGGGATGGGGGACGTAAATAAGGATTGGGCATCCGGTAACTTCACTCACACGGCGAAATACAACGCTGTGATTGTTTCACGCCGGTTTTCAGTGAAGCCGTGGTATCACTCCGGTCGTGCCGAAGCAAGGGAAGGTATGACATATATGAATATTATTTAAAAGCACATTAGTCTGCGAAATTTGCAGGATGCTGCAACTGACAAATCTTAATGGGATCCACGAATTGTTGTTTGGGAATTGAGGGTGTACGAATTTTGTCTTTGTAAACCAGATCTGGCCTTGCCCAGGTTGCGGGGCAAGCGCAATAAGGTACCGCGGTCTCAGCATGGATCAGTAAAATGAACGGGGTGGTTTTTAGTCAGTAAGAGTCTGACACTCCCTTTCACTTGGGCGTGAAGAAGTCTTTTGATGATTTTCCCAAAAAGGAGAGCTTTATGTGATTCTCCATTCTTGCAAAAAATGTGTTTTTTGAACGCATTGACGGTTTTAGGGGAAAGGCAAACGCCCAGCTCCGGAAAGACAGATTTACAAGACGGGCAAAGCGTGCCCCGCTCATATGATCGTTACGGAGACGATGGATCGAGTGCTGGTCACATTTTATAAAACCCACGTTGGGCATGGTCGTAAGTTCTTGTGTCTTTTCTTTGCTTAACCAAAGACCTGATTTTTTATGTGTGATAGGACGGTAAACGAGTTGATGGAGTACCTGATGGTAAGCAATCAACGCTACCTATCGACACCCCCAAAAAATGGTGGACTAAGGTATGAGTGCGGTGTTGACCTTTTGGGTATTAGGGTTTAGGAGATTTTGGGATTGAAGAGGGATTAGGGGAAAGGGAAGGATTGAGCCTGCAGTGATCTTACATACAACGCTATATTTTTTTCCTCAGCAATCGGCACCGCCCAAGGACACCGGTCGTAATATTTTTGAGGAGTTACGAGTGCGTTTTCCGCTTTTGATAGTTAGGCCCTTAGGGGGCTTACGTTTTATGTGATAAGTCGGGAAACCAACTGACGGATCACCTGATGGTAAGCTATCAGCGCTGCCCATGTAGGTACACCCGCAACTACGGAAGAGTTACGAGTGGGTTGCTGGCTTTTTGGGGATTGGGGTGGCTGAGATTTAGAGATTGGAGAGGGATTGGGCCTCAGATTGGCGCCGCCCATAGACACCTGCAGCACCAAAGGAGCCACAGGCGCGATGCCAGCCTTTGGCTTCTTTTTTTTTAATTGGGACAAGCCCGCATAGCCTTCCGAAACCGCTACAACTTCTACGCACCAGGATCTACAGTAGATACAACCATGAAAACACCGGAACACTGAAGTCCATCGCGTCCCAGGGACATGAATGACTGTCTTGGATCCCGCAACGAAATAAATCAGAAGATATTATTTGAGGAGAAGAAAAAAATGCTTTTTGTCAATCAATAATTGTGATATTACAGCTTGTCCCTATTTTGAACCGAGGGAGTCTAAGAAGATGAAGTCAGAACCTCATGCCAGTTCATCCATCGTAATGGATGAAGCTTTAAAAGCTGGAGTGGAGCCTAAAGATGAAGGTAAGTACTTGTAATTTGAGCAGCAGATTCTTTTTTAAGAGAAAGGTCGTTAGAAACATATTGAGTACCTGATGGTAAGCAATCAGCGCCGCCCATGGACACCTGCAACAACAAAGGAATTACGAGGTTGTTACCGGATGCTTTTTGAGGATTAGGGCTTCGGATATTTATGGATTGGGAAGGGATGAGGAGAGGGGGAGGGATTGGGCCTCCGCTAACCGCCTAACCGATAGACCATAGCTTTTTCGTTTGGGATTGTGTGTCATGAAGTCACCAGACGGAGCCTTCCAGGGTCGATGTTCAGACGGGATTGCCAGCTCTGCAAGACGTCATAATAATATGTTGCGATACATACAAAACTTATACAAACGCGTCTTTTTTGGTTCCTTATGAAATAGAAGGGCAAACGAGCAGACGGATTACCTGATGGTAAGCGATCAGCTTCGCCCATGGACACCTGCAACTCCAGAGGAGGCACAGGCGCGTTGCCGGCCTTTTAAGAAGGTGTATGCTGGTTTCTTGAAGGTTTGAAGGTCGTATCGGTTCGGGAATACCGCCGCCGGAAGACCATTCCAAAGATTTGCTGTGTGGGGCAGAAAGTTTCGCGAAAATCGCACAGTTGTTGACTGCCAACCATTTGTATCTATGTATATGATGGGGATGAGAATGTAGCGTTTTTGTCATTTCAATTAAAAGTATCGAATTTGCCCAATTGGAAATTATCAATATTCAAATTCATATCCAAACTAATATTATAAATGCAATATGTATGTTACTCTATCCGTCTTTTGAACCGATTTCTGTGAAATTTGGTACAGACATAGTTTGGAACTCGAGAAAGGACATAGGAGTTTTTAAACCAAAAATTTGCATGCAGTCACTATTCTACTCGAACGGAGTCGCGGGCAAAAGCTAGTACGATATTTTCGTATTGCTTAGATTTATATTCATAATATCTCCCCTTCAACGTAGCGGATACAGCAGAAGAGTCCTGTTTGATGTGTGATGCCTGCGGCATGTCATTTGGGGATTCCGATAAGTTCAGAGACCATGTCGCCACCCATGGCTTGGAGCTGTTCCCTTGCCAATATTGTGATGATGTGAGTCTATTTTGCCATATTTCTTTATACACAAGCTTTACCATGTGTTGAGGTGGGCCAGAGGTCAAGTCAACCGCTTCTCATGCATTAGGGTGCAGGTTTCCTGAACCTGGCAAGTACCAATGTGACTTGTTCCGAGTTTTATGTACTTTCTATGGTTATTTAGACACCACTTACATACGGTGAAGGTAAACATCGTGAGGAAGCCTGGACTTATAGTTTCTTATTATAAGTATTTTTATGGGATAAGCCGGCAAAGGCACAGACGGATTACCTGATGGTAAGCAATCGGTGCCGCCTATGGACACCCGCAACGCCAAAGGCGTTACGCGTTGCCGGCCTTTTGGGGATAAGTGTTGCGGATATTTTAGGATTGGGAAGGGATATAGGAGGGAAAGGGATTGGGGTCTCAGGCAACCTCACTCACACAGCGTTGTTTCACGTCGGTTTTCTGTGAGATTTTCCGTGGTATCACTCCGGTTGAGCCGACACATCGGTGCCGAAGCATGGCTCTCCCACACTCGGAGTTTGAAATCGCCAATCTGCCGTGAGCAAGCGGTGGTTAGTGCTCAAACCTTCTCCGTGTGAGAAGAGGCCTTTGCTCAGCAGTGGGCACTTATAGGCTGATGATGATGATGTGATTTTTTGTTTAATTTTACAGGATTTTCAAAATTTGGATGCTTGGACACGCCATGTAAGGCTAGAACATAATATGGGTAGTTTATTTTGAGAAAAACACAAGACCTGATCGACTCGTTAGGCATGTTTTGTTACTAAGCTTTCGATATCGGTGAAATGGGGGGGGGGGGGAGAGGAATTCGAGGGGTGAATAGGTACTAGGAAAATTCGCCATATTTTAAGTAAAATGGTATAGATAGGTTACATAAACAAAATTCGATTTCAAAAACGGCACACTTATGCACACATTAATAAATCGTATGATACACGTTAAAGTGAGATGGCATGTTTCAATAATCGCGAGTGAAAAAGAGACAAATATGAAAAAGTGTGGCTAGTTAGCCACATTTAATGTAAAGTGAGATGGCATGATTCAATAATCGCGAGTGAGAAAGAGACAAAATTATGAAACAGTGTGGCTAGTTAGTCACATTTAATGTAAAGTGAGATGGCATGATTCAATAATCGCGAGTGAAAAAGAGACAAATATGAAAAAGTGTGGCTAGTTAACCACATTTTAATGTAAAGTGAGATGGCATGATTCAATAATCGCGAGTGAAAAAGAGACAATATGAAAAAGTGTGGCTAGTTAGCCACATTTTAATGTATCACTCGCTGAGCGCTTGTAACCTATCTACACCTTTAAACTTATAATATCATTGTATTTACCCCGTTTTACTGTAGTCAATTTGTGATACCTATAGACTTCTAGAATATAATATTTGAGTCTCAATTCAGTTTTGTCAAAGAAGATGTATTTTTATTTATGCAATGAAGTATTTGATTCTTTATTCTCTAAAATGTAAATAAACTTATTTTGTATTTAAATTGTTTTTTGTACTTTCTCTCCCACAGTTAATTTTACACAGCTCATAATAAACATTCCCAGTATTAACTGCACGTTGCAAGCAAACAGATGACCTGGGCCTCGAGACTGCTATGACAATAGTGCCAGAATAGTAGATCATTGGTTTCAAAATTGTTGATTTTGACAAGTTTGATAATCTACTAACACGATAGCGTCATTATGACTTTCCAATGCCACTTCATTATTCGGTGTGTACCGTGAGGAATATAAAATTTCCTCACGGTACACGGTAAAGAATTAGAATTCTATCTTTTTCCTGAACTCAAATTACTTTTCCTCTTACTCTTTACTCCACTTACACTATGGAATTCTAATTCTATCTTTTTCCTGAACTAAAACACACAGAATAAAGTGGGCGGAGGAAATTTTATATTCCCCACGGTACACCCAGGTGAACAGTAGGAAAAAAAATACTTCCCGCTGCACACCTAGGTGGTCTCACGAGGTGTATGGTGGGCAAAGAGCGCAATCGCCGCCCCAGGATACTCGTAATCAGCCGGGGTTGCAGGTTAAGCGCAATGAGTCACCGCGGCCTCGGCCCAGAGCAGGAGAAGGAACAGGGGGTTTTTAGTCAGTAAGAGTCTGACAATCTCTCGCCTAACCCGGCGGGAGAAGTCATTTGATGATTTTCCACTGACAAAAAAAGGATGCTCGTAATACCTACCAAACGAGTTAGGTATATACTACAAGTGCGTTAAGAGGCTAACAAAAAAAACAACAACAGAAAATTATTAATTTACCTTTATTATTGTTACGAAAACCTACAAACTATTACACGAGTTGATTTCTAACACATATTAATATCACATTTTCGAAAATATGTAATTAATTCATTATTATATACTACACAGCCCGAAACCATAATATACAATATTTATTAAGTTTTCTTTACATTTTTAAAAAACATTTTATCAAGTAGCAGATTATTCGAGAAATAAATATTTTTTGACATGTAAATGACAACCTGTAATTAGTTTTCCCGCCCATTTTTATTGACACCATGCACGACACATTTTAATAAAAAAAAAACTACCAAAAAGCGTGGAGCGTGAAGGTCTTAAAACTTTACCTTATAAATTAAAAACATAAGTCCATCTTCCCAAAAAATTTAATGTCGTATCTGACCAAAAGTACTACAGAAAAAAACATGTCGATTATCCTATATGTATAAACTGAATTTATTTAAAGTGTTTTTTTCAGCGAATTTAAGGCGTTTTCAAAACTTCTACCACTACTTATCCCTTTTTGATATGCATAGTTTTTTAATAATCCTCCTTCAAAACGTTTTACAAGTAATGAAAACAGACTAATAACAATTATTTTAGGTCCAGCCATTAAATATATTGCTAAAATTTCAACAATTTCAATCTAAATATACATATATAACTTACATTTATTTACATAACAAGCCTATTAATTTCAAACTCACTTAGGGCTGTTTTTTTCAATATTCAGATAAGTGTAGGAATAAAATTGTTGCTGTCACTGTCTTACACAAACATTCTAACGCGGCAACATCATAATTATTTCCCAGGTAACTTTTATCTAACCATTGAAAAATCAGCCCTAAGCCAGCGGAAAAGTTTTGTATGAAAACCAGTATAAGTATTTGATGAAAATTCAACTGAATTGTCAATGTCTTAATTACAACGTTTAGGTTTAATTTTTCAATAGTTAGATAAGAGTTACCTGGGGAATAACTATGATGCTGTCGCGTCAGAATGTTTGTATAAGACAGTGACGGCAAAAATTTTATTCCTCAAATAACATTTATCTGACTATTGAAAAATTAGCACTAACACGATATATTTTCAAAAACACAGTCCAACTACAAAAAAAGAACAAGTATTTTTATTATTTTGTCTCATTGACCTTACTGACTAACCAATCGAAGCAAACTAAAGAAAATTATTTCATATTTTGGTCAATAAAAATTTCAGTATGACTAGACTGAGTTCTTTTTACTTCTTTATACATTTCTAATTAATTGAAACACTAAAAAAGTACAAGTAGCTAGCAAGATAAGCAGTCAAAACTAATGAGTATTAGAGTTTATTAAAATCTCACAAAAAACAAATCGATGACAATTTAAATCCTAATTTTTATACAAATAAGACGTTAATTCTGAGTCACTTAAAGATATCCACTTTTTTCACAATTGACTGGACAATCTCTACACTACATGAGTCACTGTTTACATGTCAACATTAGCTCATGACGATACCAGCGTAGTGTGTCACTGGACAGTGAACCTCGCTACCATCAGTTGACTGGACAATCTCTACACTACTTGAGTCACTGTTTACATGTCAACATTAGCTCATGACGATACCAGCGTACGTGTGTCACTGGACAGTGAACCTCGCTACCATCAGTTGACTGGACAATCTCTACACTACATGAGTCGCTGTTCACATGTCAACATTAGCTCATGACGATACCAGCGTACGTGTGTCACTGGACAGTGAACCTCGCTACCATCAGTTGCCTGGACAATCTCTGCACTACATGAGTCGCTGTTTACATGTCAACATTAGCTCATGACGATACCAGCGTACGTGTGTCAAGTGACCGGACGGCGTTAAATGGTTCCAAATTTCTTTCAAAGAATGAGCGCCTACCGCTTTTCTACCAAAAATCTTTTTTTCATTATTATCTGATTATTGGCAATGGTTATATTTTTTAAAATCAAACAATTATACTAAATATATCATGTGCTATGTCAATATTAGTTCTATATTATGTCAATGGTGATTTTGGCTGCGAGAAAGAGCTCCGAACAGCGCACCGGCTGAAAGAAAAGTGAAAAATATCTTTTAAAACCTACAAATTTAAAAAAGCGCTACATTAGAACACATTGAGTGACGTGACAAGAGGTGTATTAACGACGATGCGCTAGTGGAGGTCTGACTTTAAAGCCACAGGCGCCAAGTTGCAAGCCTTTCGGATGCATTTCGAAGAAATCGGATGGATATCCCACCTACACGCACGAAGCGGTTCGCCTCCAGTTTTATCACCAAAACCGCTAATGACTAAGGAGTGGAATTCTTTGCCGGAGTCCGTGTTCCCCGAAGGGTATAACCTGGGTGTCTTCAAGGCCCGAGTGAATAGGTTGCATATGGGTAGAAGTGCTGCATCATAGGTCCTAACTTCTGATTTATTTCGTTGCGGGATCCAAGACAGTTAATCATGTCCCTGGGATGCGCCGGACTTTAGTGTTCCGGTGTTTTCATGGATGTATCTACTGTAGATCCTGGTGCGCAGAAGTTGCAGCGGTTTTGGTAGGCTGCGGCGGACTTGTTCCAAAAAAGGTCGCATTATGGCTTACCACCAGGCGAATTAGCGCTTAAATGAGTTACGACATCTAAATTAATATTATAAATGCGAAAGTATCTTTTGTTTGTTTGTCTGACTGTCTGTCTGTCTGGCTTTTCTTCACGCCTAAACTACGGAACCGATTTCTGAGTTTGGTACAGACATAGTTTGGAACTCGAGAAAGAACATAGGATAGTTTTTATACCAAAAATCTGCAGGAAGTCACTATTCCGCGCGAAAGGAGTCGCGGGCAAAAGCTAGTAAAAAAAAATATACTTACTTATAACTAACTAAGCAACTTTGCGACAATTAGGGCAAGTTTGTTTCTCCTGTAGCCATGGCATGATACAATCGGTGTGAAAATTGTGTGTACATGGCAGCGAAGTGACTTCTTGGTTGCGAAGCATCACGTCGAAGCAGATAGAACATTCTTCCAGAGTCCAGGAGCGTTCGCGGCTGAAATTGAAGACAAAATTTATTTATTTTACACTTCTTGCACAATGCCCAATGGCAGACTTAACGTTTTAGGCGTTTTTGGCCCCTTTGAGTGGTAGAGTAATATTGGATATTAACAAGGAAAAAAAGACACATTAAAAATTTGCGGTTGGTACATTTATTTTGGGAAAACGTGAATGAGGATTAGCTGATGGTAAGCAATCGGCGTCGCCTTCTGGACAACTCCAGAAAGGTTATAAATAAGGGTTTGCCGTTCCATTAGGTATATTTGTCAATTTGACGCTTAGACTATTAAAAAACTTGAAATAATTTATCTAAATTGAAAAAACAATGTATTGTCCACTTTTAATGTAGGTATTAGTAAAGCCATAATAAAAACAACCACAATTTCGTTGATAAATTTTACAATTTTCTTAACCAAATTACCAATCACGGGACCAAAGGGTCCCGGTCATTTGGGAGGCGTACGAGAGGCTGGAGCCAACTGCGCAGAGGCCCTTTACACAACTTTAAATGGGACACAAATCGGTCTTATGACTATAATTAGTATTTTTCTTCTCAGAAAAACGTAGCTATGCAGAGCCTATTAATAGTCGATATTTTTTTTTTTTTCATACATAACAAAACATGCACACACACAAAAAACAATGTTTCCTGTTTATAACATTAGCGTAAATAGGTTTTTCACAAACCATGCATTACTATAAAATTATATTTTAAGTACAAATAACCTATATATTTGTAAATTCATTGATTAGAGATAGAGGAACGTGTGGGACAGCCACGCTTCGGCACGAATGGGTTAACAAGACCGAAGTGATACCACAGCTTCACAGAAAACTGGCGAAAAACAACCACAGCGTTGTGTTTCGCCGTGTGAGTGAGGTTACCGGAGGCCCAATCCTTCCACTTCCGCTATCTGTAAATCTCCAAAATCCTAATCCCCAAAGGTCGGCAACACACTTGTAACTCCTCCGTTCCTGAGGATCTCCATGGGTTTATAATCTAAAAAATAAGAGCGGTAAACGAACAGACGGACTACCTGATGGTAAGTAATCGGCGTCGCCCATGGACACTTATAACAACTAAAGGACTTTCAGACGAGTGTTGACGAGAATTGGAGGTTGGGGGAGGAGGGATCAGCCATTCGGTTACCTTTTTTTTTTAAACGTTGGCCCACATTAGGGTTTTCTCCTGTGTTGTGAGTGCGTTTACAAACATACAATTTGACATGCACATCACACCCAGACCCGGAACAACAATATCTGGATCACACAAAGAGTAGTTCCGTGCGGGAATCGAACCCGCGACACGTTGCGTGGCAGCCAGTTGCCCAGCCACCGCGCCAACCGCGCCGTTACCTTAATTACACGGTAAACACACCGCTGTGGTTGTTTCACGCCGGTTTTCTGTGAGACCGTGGTATCACTCCGGTCGTGCCGGCCCATTCGTGCGGAAGCATGGCTCTCCCACATTTTATACCTACTCCAAAAAAAATACGTGCCATATTTTTTTCATTATCAGTTTTAATCGTTATTAGGTAGTTTTCTGGGTCAAAAATAAATTAATTCGAAGTTTCAATACAATAAAATATTGAAAAATAACTATAGTTTCATTCATCGATCGATCGATATACTAAATTTTAGATATTTGTTAGCTAATTTATAAGAAATAAATAAGCTATTTCACGAAAAAATACTATGACGTCATAACTCAGTATTTCATACAAATTTCATAGAAAAGTGCCATTTTGACATTTGGATAAAAGTATTGAATTTGACTAGTTGGAAATTACCGTATTATCCTTATTAATTAAACCTGTTAGTTCACTACAACTACAACAAAAACTCATTTTAGTATTGTTAATGAGTAAAACTTAATTAAAATTATGATCTTACAAAGCTTCCTGTCTTAAAATAGCCATCTGCTGTTCTTCACTCCTGAAAATCGTGAAATACCAACTTAACTAGAGAATGTACAATCTTTACTAACATTAAAAAGAGGTATTTGTAAGTTTGTATGTAGGGGTTAATCTTTGGAACCGCTAGTCGGATTGCCAAAATTCTTTCACTGACAGATAGCTACACTTTTCCTGAGAGCTACAGGCTATTTATTCTTAATTTGTGGCTAATAGTTCGTTTGTCCATCTATATAGTACCTACTAGCTAATGTCGTGCAGTTTCACCCGGTGCTCGGCTCCTATAAGTCGTAGTGTGATGTTTTATAGCCTATAGCACTCAGGAACATTGTAGCTATCTATAAGTGAAAGAGTTTTGGACATCCAACCAGCGGTTCACCTCCTAAGTACATACAAACTTACAAATTTTACCTTTTTAAACCAACTTCAAAATTGTTCATTGACACAATCTGACATCTTAACTATACTACCTATAAATGTATAAGATAAAAAATTATCGTCTGTTTAAGACAATACTAATTATACAACTGCTAATATTCATTTGTTCAACAGATGGCGCTAATGTAGCAAGATGTGTGTTTTATAGCTACCAAAAAATACATCATACATACATGATCAGCCTATAGGTAAGTGCCTTGGTGTTGTGTGTATGTGAAATTGTATGTTTGTAAACGCACCTACAACACAGGAGAAAATAGCACAGGCCCCTTCGTGGATTTGCGATTTAAAACTTAAAATTCGACATTATATGTCAAGGTTTCCTCACGATGTTTACCTTCACCGTATGTCAGTGGTGTCTAAGTGAACTTAGAAAGTACATATAACTCGGAAAAAGTCACATTGGTACTTGCCAGGTTACCTCTGGGCCACCTCAGCTCTGGTGTACATATTATTTTGACACTAGCTATTTACCTAATGAAGCAGATTTCTCGCTACGTTAACGTTACCTTATGAAAACAAAGAAGAGTTGCATGCTTGGTTTCTTTTTAAACCTACGTTGCCCCACGTGAGGATTTTGTCCTATGTTGTGGGTGCGTTTACAAACATACAATATCACATACACATCACACCCAGACTCACTGAACAACTTATTGTGGATCACACAAAGAGTTGTTCCTTGCGTGAATAGAACCCGCCACACATTGCACGGCAGCCAGTTGCCCAGCCACTGCACCAACCATGTAGTCAAAACGACCTACTCAAATTAACTTTAGAGCATAACTCGTCTAGTTTCAAGTTACACCGGGACTCATACTTATAGGTACAGTGCGTTGCGTGGCAACGTCTCACAGTCAACTGTAGAGCTTTATATTTCATTTGTTTTTACATAGTATAAAAATAACTTACACTTTCTTTCTAGGACTTATAATAGTACTTATTCTACCGAGCAGACTGGCGAATGATGAATGACCAGGGTCTTCGGGAACGCCAACAGAAGAGGTCGTAACGTCCCAGTCCATTTCCGAATCAGTCTCCAACGCTGACGTCACGGCATTTTGAAAAAACGAATATCCAGACTCCATTGTACTATCGCCCATAAAAACATCATTTATCTCTGAATCACTTGTCTCTAAATCGTCTGAACTTGAGTCAGAACTCTCTGAATGTTCTGACGTCTCTGAATGTTCTGACTCTTCGGAATCTTCTGATTGGTCTAAACTTTCTGTTCTGTTTATACTCGTGTCTGTTGTTTCGTGTTCCGATATCGTCGTGTAGGAATCGTCTGAGTCGGTCTTTTCGCTGATACAGTGAAATTTATATTTAGAAAATAATAGTATACTATATAAGTTTATAAGTTTACTTGCGTTTAGTTTAGCGTTTAGTTAGTAAGTTTACTTAAACTATATAAGTTTACTTGCGAGAGAAGATTTTTAAAGGCGGTAAAGTATTTTTTTCCTTAATTATTTTTCTTTTCGCTTTTAAAAATCTTTTCCGCAAATAAAATCAAACATTACATTATAGAAAATAACAAAATTCTCTTAAATAGGTTTAAGCAGAAGTGTACCATTTATACTTGTATTTTATTTTGTTTAGTAATTATTATTATTAACGATGAAAACTTTATTATTAACTATCATGAAATATCACTACATAGTATAAAACAAAGTCGCTTTCTCTGTCCCTATATCCCTATGTATGCTTAAATCGTTAATACTACATAACAGATTTTGCAGTTGTTTTATTGTAGAGAGTGATTAAAGAGGAAGGTTTATATTATATGTATAATAACATACATTAAATAGTGAAGAAATGTTGTATCACATAGGTAAGTGGTACAAATCGAACGAGCCTAACCTCAATATGTTTACTATTAGGCTGTCCAAGGTTCCAGATTATGGTCCAGCTAGCTCAATAATACCATTATATTGTATTGTCAATCAATCTACATATAATTGCCAAGTTGCATGGTAATACTACAATACACTCGACACTGGCAGTATAGTCGACAACATTATATTGGAGACTCAGTTGCCAACAACAACAAAAAAAAAAAAAAAATACTACAATTCGAAGTGTGTTTAATACACACAGCCAAAGTTCAAAATCATAAGTGTTTGCGTTGCCGTAGTCGGGTAAAAACAAATTAGTACAACTAAAACAACTAGAAGGTTCTTTTGAACCTTCTAAATAGAATAGTAGTCTGTCAGTCTGTTCGTCAGTGAAGCCAGGTGCTCGTTCCAAATCGTAAACCAGGATGCATTGCATTGCATTCATTTCTCGTATTCATATCTTAAGTTCTATAGCCGACCATGGTAGACCAAATATTAATAATTTAAATCTACCTACATAAATAATATTATTAATATTACACATAGAAAAAATATAATAAATCTACATTGGAACTTTACACATAAAAAAAACAAATACTCATAGAACCTGTTTTGTTATAAACCTGTCTTATTATTATTTTTTAATATTGTCTTAACTTATACATAAATATGGCAGACATTTGCTTATAATTCTTATAAACGTAATTATTAAAGAAATCATATTCATTATAGAATTTAAATATACTAGTTTCTGCAAGCAAAGTAAAATAGTCTATGCATGATGCATGATCCCTGTCTATTTATATTTTTGTTTAAAGTAAATAAATTGACAATTTGTTTACTTTAAACAAAAATTATTTTATAATTGTACCTTGTAGACAAATTATAATTTGTCTACAAGGTACTTACAAATTATCTATATATCAAAGTACTAACTGAAAAATTTTCCTGCACAGATATATAATTGTAAGATTTAATAGTTTATACATATATTAATATGCTTAGTTCTTTATTTAAAAACCGACTTGATAGATATAAGCCTGAGAAACCAGTCAGCAATAATATTTTGTCAAATATACATAAATAAGAATAAATTTATTATACCTTAAATTTATGTTGAAATGCAATACTTAATAAATTTGAGTGGTTAATAAGGTGAGATACTTAGCTTAAAATGTACAATTCTGTCAATACATACCTATTATTAAATAATAATCCAAAGAAATCCATAATACATATATTATTTCAAATCTTAAATTACACAATATGGAAAAAAATTTAACCGCCAAAAAGTCACAGACGATACTAAAAAAAAGTTGAGCACCTTACAACATTATTTATGGAAGGTAAACAAACATTTTATAAAAACTCTTCTTTAACTACCCTTCGTTGCAACATTGTGCCAAATACGTTCGATTATGGTAAAATGTATCTTATTGAAATACTTACAAGGTCTGAGGTTGTTCACATTGCCAATCGCTGGTGGAACCTTCAGAATTTGGTGTTTCCTGTCGTTTGTTGAAGAAGTAGTACAAAGCTGCTCCAACTCCAACGCCAATGGCTGCTACAGCGATGCCAAGACCACGACTTGGGCAGCTATTTTTCTGCCTATCTTCCTCACGTACACTCATTTTTAATTATATTTATAATACAACTGCGTAATATTATTATGTTGCAAAATTATTTCATTTAGTCTGTCTGTTGTGTCAAAATGTCAAAAGTGTCAAAGCAATCACATTCCATAGACTTGATTAGTGCTTTTCCATATTTTAAGCATTTATTTTTGGTATTAATATTTTTGAAACTTCAATTAAAATTGGTTAATCAATCAGTAAACTCGTTATTATACATGATTAAAAAATCCTGTTATGTTTAATTGACATTCCAATATACATTCATATGAAATACATGTTAGTTGAAATTTAATTTGAGGTAATACTGGAACGCGATCCTTTAACGATACGATAAAATAAAACGCATTACGTATAATTATTTACTTTTTTGTTGGATAATTAATAAAAAATACATTAGTTACAAGTACAAATCCGTAACTAATACTTACTTAATCTGACTTTTAACTTTACATCTATCGCTCACCAAGTAAACTTGTTATGTAGTTCATACAAACTATGTTATATAATAAAATGTACACATTTGGCACATATCTTGTGTTTATTCATGCACGCATGCACGCTTGGGTGACCAGCTGACATGTAATCCACAATGTACATAAAAGCTACTAGCTGTCGCTCGGGTTTACCTGCTTCTCGGCTTCGTTTAATCGTAGCGTGATGTTTTATGGGCTACTAGCTGCCCGCCCCCGCTTCGCACGTGTCTTACTATCCTAACAGCAAAAGGGTCAATTTTTCCCAATTCTCCCCTCTACTTTTCTAAAATTTTCTTTCATAAGAACCTTCTTCTGACAATAACAAACACAACAAAAAAGAATTAACTAAATTGGTCCAGGCGTTGTTGAGTTATGCGCTTACAACACATTTTGCGATCCATTTTTATGTATATGTATAGATTAGGCTATTAGTTCTCAGGAACATTGTAGCTATCTATCAGTGAAAGCATTTTGAGAATCCGGCCAGAGCGGTTCCAAAGATTACCCCCTAAATAAGTCAAAAAGTCAAAGTCAAAAATCATTTATTTCAATTAGACCACAGTAGGCACTCTTGAACGTCAAGCAAGCAAAAAAGGAAAAAAGTATATAACAAGAGCTTTAAAATTAAGCGTGTCAGTCTGTCCGTCTGTCCTCTAGTGAAGCTATTTGCTCGTTCCAAAGTGTAGATTCCTATGGAAAAGAACGAGCAAGAAACTCCATGGTTACTCTTTTTCAATCAGTTTTACAATACATTTCTTTGTTACATCATTTAGTCGGTTCTGATATGTGAGAACAATGTAACACTAATGTTCCGGCAAAAAGTACGAAAAAGAAGTGAACCTCAAGGACAACATAATTACACAGCCTGGAGCTGACCAGTCCCCAATAGGCGGCGCCCGTTCACGAACATGACACGTACACCAGCACCGCCCAACTCAACCATATTATAGGGAATTGGGCGATCCAGTGCCCGTGCCACCGCCAATGAGACCTCTGAGTGAGCATGACAGCTCCCAGCCGACACAAGTACCTATATTCTACAAGTCTTACTTAATTATAATAGGTTACAGGGTACTCACATTTACAAAAACTTAGAAGTTCATCAAAAATTAACAACATTGTGTACAATTTAATAATTAAAATCAAAAATTCCTCTAAACATCCTGTGGAGTAGGACCAGCTAGCCTCCAAGCATTTTTATCTTGTATATAATCATTTAGTTTGTAGTATGCTAGTTTACATAAATGTTTCTTTATACATAATTTAAATTTGCTTTCATTTAGATTTTGAATTTCAACTGGGATTTTATTATAACATTTAACACAGAAACCCAGAAATGACTTATGCACTTTTGCCAATCTAAATAAAGGCTGACTCAATCTATTCCTATGTCTAGTATGATAATCATGTTTGTCAGATACCTTTACAAATAAGTGTAGGTTCTTCCTAACATACATAATGTTTTCATAAATAAATTAACTCGGTACGGTCAGAATGTTGATCTCCTTAAACTTTTCTCTGAGAGATTCGCGACGACCTAAGTTATATATGGCTCTGACGGCACGCTTTTGCAAGATAAAGATAGACTCAACGTCGGATGCCTGTCCCCACAACAGAATTCCATACGACATGATGCTGTGAAAGTAGTTAAAGTACACTAGTCTTGCCGTGCCTACATCAGTTAGCTGACGGATCTTCCAGACAGCATAAGCTGCAGAGCTCAATCGTCCTGCTAGAGACCTGATGTGGGGCCCCCATTGCAACTTCTCATCTACAGTGATCCCCAGGAAAGTAGTCTCTTTTACAAATTCTAGTTTCTGATCATTTAATAATATATCATCACATACGTTACTTTTAACATTTGGTAAAATAAATCTAATGCATTTAGTCTTTTTATCATTTAGTAATAAGTTGTTTATTGTAAACCAATTTTGAACCTTCATTAAGGCATTATTAACTTCGTCATATTTGTTTGCTCGTCTATTTATTTTAAAAATCAATGAAGTGTCATCAGCGAATAATACCATATGCGGTTCATTTTGGAACATATGGGGCAGGTCATTTACATAAACTAAAAATAGAAAAGGACCTAATATTGAGCCCTGCGGTACGCCCATAGATACGCTAGCACCCAGTGAATTAACTTTGTTGACTTGTACTAACTAATACAAACTTACAAACCTACAAATACCTCTTTATATGACATAACAGGCACAGGCTAACGGCTTTCGACCACACTATTATAGTGGAGTGGCTAGAGAAACGCCATGGCGTCTTCAGAGCTAGACTGTCACATTGTAATAGGCCCGATGTTCAGACGGCTACAGCGGCGTAGACCTAGAGCAGGAGAAGGAAAATGGACACGTGGTGCTTTTTTATTCAGTTAGATTCTGACGCTCCCTCTCGTCTTACCTTGGTCTCTCACGACTTCGAGACATTTAAACCCTCCTCCCCCTCCCCCACCAAATAAGATTAAAAACCACGTTCCTACTCCTTTTTTTTTTGTGTCGGGTTGGAAAATCCTCATGGAGACCCACCACCCTCGGGGAAGGGCGAAGGGTACTGTCAGACTCATACTGACTAAAAACCAACCCGGTGTTCCTCCACTTACCCATGTGTCGGAGGGGCGGGTATCGCCGAAGCATCCGTCGCATCCCCCCGACGGGTATTGGCCCGCCAGATGGTAAGGCGAGCCCCGTCACCCACTGCGGGCGTCACCCCGACCGCAGGACTCCATTATGAGGCGCGCGCGGAACACGGCGCCGCCGCCTCGAGGCCTGCTGCTGGTCGGACGACAAGACAAAGTTCCTTCCTAATAATATAATGTTATGTGCATTCCCATATGCTGACACTTTGTCAGAAAGTGAAAATAGTAGAATACATCATCTGAACAATTTAATATTTTTTTTGACTTCTTGTCATAGTGACAAATTATCATTTTTTGACACTAACAAATTTGTTAGTGGTTTTAAGTTGACCCGGGATTATATGTATATTCCCAGGAAATGTAAATTATTAATTGCTAGTTTGCTAGCAAATAGTATTAATTTATTAATAAGTAGTTTTAGTGACAAAACTATATTGATTAGACAATCTAACAATATAGAGATTAATTGTACATACAATAGTACGAAGGAGGCTCCAGATTTATTGACAAATGTGGATAGTACTCCGGATAGTATTCTTTTAAACTGACTTCCACGACAACAGAAGATAACCAATTAAATTACTCAAAAACCACATTCATTGAAAAGGTTCCTTCTGGCAATATTATTAAGCATCAATTTAAATTAAAACATAAAACTAAATTAGATAATTTGGTTTCATTGTACAGTCAAAATATTCAGGGCTTATCATCAAAATTCCTAGAAATTGAATTGTTTTTAGAGAAATTCCAATATGATATAATTTGTTTAACTGAACATTGGTTAAAAGATTATCAAGTAGAAACAATTAACTTCAATAACTATTGTGTTGGCAGCAATTATAGCCGCCAAGCAATGATACATGGTGGTAGCCTAATTTTAGTAAAGAACTCAATAAAATATAAACAAAGACAAGACATTGCTCTGCTGTCAATTGAACACACAATAGAGTTATCCTGTGTTGAGCTGGATAGGCATATTGTAGTATGTGTTTATAGGCCTCCTAACATACAGAATCTAAATATTTTTCGCTCTGTAATGGAAGATGTACTGCGGAAAACATGTTCTAGTAGTAAATGTACAATAGTATGTGGCGATTTTAATGTTGATCTCTTAGAAAACAATTCTCATTGTACAAACTTGTTAAGTCTCTTTCAATCATTTGATTTGTCTAATGTTTTCCTTGAGCCCACCCGAGTAACATCCACCTCGGCAACTTGTATAGATAATATTTTCTGTAACTGTGATTATTTACAAAGTGAAATTGTAAATAGATTACCATCTGATCACAGTGGGCTCACAGTTAACTTTAATACTATAACAACTGTGCCAAAAAAGGAAATATTGTTTAGACAAATCACATACAAAAAAATTTATTCATTAAATAATAACATGAATTATAACATGAATTATGCAGCCAAGTACAAGACAATAATTGCCCGAGTGAGATATGTGCTAATTTATTATCCCTTATAAAAATACAGTTCGATAAACTATTTCCTTTAATACGTAAAAATGTTCAGTGTAAATTTGTATTCTCTGACTGGGCTACACCAGGTATTCGTATAAGTAGAGACAGGTTATTTGAGCTATACGGCCTGAAACCATTTAATAGTAGCGAGGCTTTTCGCAGACACGTTTCCAAATATTCAAAAATATTTAAAATACTATGTAAACATGCTAAGTCGCTCCACATTAGTAATAAAATCAGGACCGCCGAAAACAAAATAAAAGCTACCTGGAATATAATTAATAAAGAAACAGGTAGAAATAAATCACAAAACACTGAATTTAATTTAAAAACCGAAAAGGGATATACTAGTTCAAATTCGTCAGTTGCCCAGGAATTCGAAAGATTCTTTAAAAATATTCCTCTTAA